GAAACCTATACTTGGACCAAGAGGAAATCGTCAGAACAGAGTAGGGAAACACTGCATGTTTCAAAATTGGGAAAGGTGTACACCAGGGATGCATCCTATCTCCATACCTTTTCAACCTATATGCAGAACAGATTATCCGAGAGGCTGGGATCTATGGGGAGAAATGTGGCATCAGGATTGGTGGAAGATCTATTAACAATCTGCGTTATGCGGATGACACAACCCTGCTTGCAGAAACTGAGGAGGACCTGATGCACTTGCTGCAGAGGGTCAAGGACTACAGCCTTCAGTATGGATTGAGGCTCAAAGTCAAGAAGACAAAGATTCTCACCACTGGACCAATTGGCAGCATTAGGATGGATGGTGAAGAGATTGAGATTGTTAATAACTTGGTTTGCTTGGCTCCACAGTCAATACTTTTGGTACCAGTGGCCAGGAAATCAAAAGACGAATTGTATTGGGACATCCTGCTCTCAGATACTGCACCAGAGTACTGATAAACACATTGGCATAGCCACACGGTATCTAAATATGCACACTCATAGGAACTACAAGCTAAGAACAGGGAGGCTTGGAGGTGGGTAAAAAAAAAAAAAGTATGGCGCTTGCGCAGAATAGCAACTAACACCATAGTCACATGCATGCACAGATAACTTAATAAGTACAGATGCACAGCCAAGCAGAAATCCCCTTTGTAGAAATGTATGCACATGCGTGGACAATTGTACATATTAAAGCTACACGCTGGTCTGTGTAGACATGCACAGACAAAAGCAGATAGCTGCAGACGAATGTCAATACACGCTGACTCATGTAGACATCCACAGAAATGTGCAGGGAAGCTCAGAGGCCTGCATCGGCTGGATGTCGTTGAAAGTGTGTGCCAAAGGGCAAATAGTTGTTTATTCCTCTTGCGGGTAAGCAAAACTAGTGCAAGAAAATGAGAAGAGTTGTGCATAAATCAATATAGATAAACTCAAGAGAGAATTTAAGAAGATTAGAATGCCGTCATTCCCAGGTAGTTGTGGTTGTAATTTCACTTGAGTTTTCTTTCTTTTCCAAATGCTTTATAATTGATGATAGATAATAGACAGACTTTTTAAATTAATTTTCATTTTGATTAGGTCATGTACCTGGAAATTTTAAAAAGTGTGAGCATTTATAATTAAATGAATGTGTAATTTATTTACAATGAAAATGTAAAAATTGTTCTAATTTTTCTTTTTAGAAGTGCACTTGGTGATGGAAAGAGAGCTATTATTCTGAAGAACACTTGGCCAAAGGTAAGTGTATTTTGTATTGAGTAAATAGCTCAGCCAGAGATAGGTGTGTTTTATAGTGTATGATGCAGAAATAAAAACTTTCTGAAAAAATGACTATTTGCAGGACTTATATTTGTATATAAAGATGCTGGAAGAAATAATTTCAGAGCTCTGGGATAGCAAAGGAAGTAATTAGTCCCATAATTAAAAAGGAACACTCACCAGGATGGTGAGAAGCTGGGAAGATAGATACAGCCTGTAGAGGTTTTTAGTATCTTGAAAGAATCCCTTAGTATTTAGGATGTTAGCATCTATATAATTTGGGTGAGTTACAGACCTAACTGTGAAAAATTTACATTGAGAAATTATACATTTAAATTTTAAGAAACTAAAATCTTGAGGTAGGAAAGAATTTCTTAAATAACACACTATAGAAAAAACTGGTAATTTTTTAAAAGCATTGGTAAATTTTATTATATGAAATGTAAACTTCTTTTTTCCCTCTTTAATATTAGCTAGCTCCTTTATTGCGTTTGAATCTTTTCTTTTTTAAAGCTTTTCCTGATCAAATTCTTAAAATGCAAACTGTTTTTTCCAGACATTTCTCATCTCTTTTCCTATAGCTCCCATGCAGCATTTACAATTATGTAATATTTCATCATGGTTATTTACATTATTGTGTTGTCTGTCCTCTCGTACTACAGAGAGATTTTTCCATCAGCTTGAGTCACTGTTGAATACTGGCTGTGTAACAGACTACTTGGCACGTAGAAGGCACTCAATACATGTCTTTAAAATTGTTGTTGTTGACTGTCTTCCAGTGGAGCATGACTCATAGCAACCCTATGAACAAAAAAAGGCCTGAAGCCCCTCTACAACTGTTGACATTTATCAAAATCCATAGAGTTTCCAGAGGCATGTTATTTAGGAATTGTAATCCACTCCTGCTTAGCAAGTGAATAATTAAATTATTAAATTGCAGATAAAATTCATTCTCTGGCATAGCAACATGAATAGATTTTAAAAAAATGCTATGTGGCAAAATAGTAAAAGCATAACCCTCTCAAGTAGAAATGCTTTGCCTAAACTGGGATTTTTGTTTATGAGGGTTGGTTGCATTATCCCCAGGTGGGTATATTGGTTTTCTAGATTAAAAGATTGAGGCTTGATTTCTTTTACCTGAATATATAAGTGCAGTTTGGTTGGTACTTGGTATTTTGATAAAAACAAAAGTCCCCAAAAATCCCAGTCACTGGCATGAAATTAACGATTTTCAGAACTTTTCCCAAGCTACACTTAGAGATAATGGAAACCTGTGTGGGGTTGGTTAGTGGAGGGTGACTCTAATCAAGGTGCCTTCTAATCTTCTCAGGTGATGGATAGACCCCCCCCCCCCATCCCGTGTTCTTTAGTGGCAGTAGAAAGCTCCCTATAGGCTTGTTGTCTAAAGTATAGGAAATGATGTAGTTAGTTGTCACCTTACAGTATTTGGGGAAAAAAGTTATTTATAATTAAATATTTAAGGTCACCTGGTTGCTAGTGACAAGAAGCTGCACTGCAATCCCAGAGGTATGCAGTTCGAATCCACCAGATGCTTGGCTGGAGAAGGAGAGGCAATCTCCTCCTGTACCAGTCAGATCCGATTTGATGGCGCACACACACACACACACACACACACACACACACACTCACAATTTTAAAAAGAAAGAAATATCATTTATTTGATACAAAATAGCATACATTCTATGCTTTACTAGTAATATATAATAAAGGTTGACTTTTTTGGGAGGGAGAGGGTACCAAAATCTACTAGGAAAAAATATTAGTCTCATTTTTTTCAGTTAATAAAATTTTCTTGTATATTCCTAACTTCATTGAGGTCATCATGTAATTTATTGCCTGAGAGATGCTAACAGTTTTGGAATTTCAAGATGATCTAATTGGTTAACTCGCTTGACTGCTGACTAAAAAGCTAGTGATGTGAGTGGCTTCAGAGTGTCTGGGGAGAAAAGCCAGATGATCTGTTTCCTTATCGACCGCAGCCAAGGAAGTCAGTGGAGCACAGCGCTACCCTGACACACACCTGTCACCAGGTGGCAGAGTCAACTTGATGGCAGTTGGCTTTTTTGATTAATGATTTTAGATTTTGTTTGTTTCCCCTTAATGAATGTGCCCTAATCTAACATTAATAATTCCCCCAACCCCGTACCTGTTTTCTTTAACTTAACCATTTTTTTTTTTTTAGAAAATTATATTTCTCTTTTTGGAACAGGGTCACTATCGATATTGTGATGCTCTTTCTCTGCTGGGGGAATATGACTGGGCCTTGAAAGCAAACTTAAAAGCTCAAGAACTCTGTAGACATAATCCTGAAGGATTGAAGGACCTAACCCAGCAGTGTTTAAAGTTCCAGAGACAAATTGATGAACTCCAAGGTATGTCACTTAAGTTCTTTTGGTTACAGTCCCACTGTCTTGAAGATTTTTAAAGATGGGCTTCTTGGATCAGTGAAGGACTGTAAATACATTCTCAGGTGATTTGTACTTATTTTGTTATCTTGGCAAAGTCATATTTCCATTTCTAGATGTATAGAATTTCGATAGTATTGGAGAAGATTCAGAGGTAATTATTGTTAAGTACTGTTGAGTCTGAACTGATTCGTCCTTGACTCTTCAGCAGAGTTTCAGAGATAGTAAATTTCACAGGATACAACTCTACAATTTTCTCCCGCAGAGCAGCTATTGGATTTGGTTAATTTGTGTGCCTTTGGGTTGGCAGCACAACGCCCTCCTGAAAGGTCACGCTGTTGTTGTGTACCACCATGTCAGAACTGACCCATAGCTGCCCATCTGGCGAATTTTAAGAGACACAGGAGGGAAGTGCTTTTCTTTATCCTGTGGAGAAGCTGGTGGATTCGAACTGCGTACCTTCGGGATTGCAATGTAGCTTTTTTACCATTAGGTCACCAGAGCCTGAAAACCCTACAAGGGGGCAGTTTCACATGGTGTCATATGAGTTATAATTCTATAGCAATTTTTTGTTTTGGGAATATGTTTATGAATTCTCTAAATAGATATATATCTCAGAACGTAGATATGTAAGCTAGGAATTAAACATTTTCATTCCACTTATAATTCCTCTCCTAAATTCTTAATTACCTGAAGGTCCTTTATTCTACATTTTTTATGTATGCATCTCTGATTTTGTTTTCAGTTTACGGTACTCAGTGGGTTAGAGGTGAGCTGAGTGATTATATTTCAGTAGATGTCTGCTAACGGAACATGATCATAAGGTTGTGAGCACTTTGAAGACAGGTATCCTCTATGACTTGAATTTATATTTTGTTCATCTGGTTAGTAGTCACATGTAGTAAAGTGTCACAAAGTTTGTATAACCTTTTGCTGATGCTATCCTAAAACAAGAAATGTCTAGAATTTTAAAAAATGGCTTAAGCAAAATTTTCCATTTTCTAAATTTGATATTTTTTGCCATCATCTTTAAAATAATTTTAAAAATGTATTTTCCAATTGCTTTAAAATAATTTAAAAAATTTATTTGCCAATCACTTCTGATTGATTTTTACAGGTCTAACACGAAGTAGGAATCAGTGTAGGAGAGCCTGTTCTGATAACAGGTGAGTGAATATTAGATCTCTTATTACTTGAAATAGCTATGACTTTAAGACTCACTTGTATTTGATTCTTTAGTAGCTAATAAAAGTCACAATAAACTTGGACATAGGGTCACTATGAGTGGCCTACTTGATGGCACTTAATAACAACAACAGCGTAGAGAGAGAGCTCAGTTGGTCAGTTGGCCTAGTGGACAGAAAGTGATGCTCCCAAGTCAAAGGTGGGTGACTTTAATCCACGGCTCTCAGGCCTGCTTTTTTTTTT